ATAAAAGTAACTAAAATGTAAAAATAGGAAACATTTTAGGTTAGATTAGGTGAAGTAAATAATAATATAATAAAAATTTGAGTTCATGGGTGGCTCGTGAGCCAGATTCAATTATATTTTAAGAACTCATGCCTGGATTACATAAGAAATGATCAGAAAAAGGTGAATAGTGTTGAATGTGTGTACACTGAAATGTTTTTAAACTAGTTAATAACCTGGAAGTACAGATATTTTCAGAAAATAAAGCATTTAAGTTGGCATACTTATCAATGAAGTATAGAACCAGGCTAAAGGAGGGAAGAATGAGCAGTTGTTACAAGTGACTGTAACTTGGATTGAGATTACAAGACTATTTTGAAAAAAATACAATAAAAAAGGACAGTTTGGTCTGTGCCTCAAATATAACATTATCAAAGTTGTTAGCTAAAGGAAAACTAAAGGACGATTTTGATACCATTGATACAGAAGATAGTAACACTGTAGATGACAGAACAAAAAAGATTGATCGAATGTCCTATCACTCAGCCAAACACATTATAAGTGATCTGAAGAAAAGGAAGTCTTTATTGAATGTACCTGATAGAAGTACTGAGTAGTCACTTGACTCAGATGATTGTGAACCCAGTGTAACTCAAACTGAGTCACTGGAATTTACTTATGATTGTTCATCAAAATTAATTCTGAATAAATAATTTATATAACCACATTGCTTGACTTGTCACTGATGCATCACCTGAGACTGATGACTTGGGTAGAGTAAATCTTACTGAAACAGACCATGAAAAGGTTCTCAAATCAAAATAAGTTATTGCAGCAGTCAGAAATGCTGAGCCTCAACATGATATAAGGGTGGAAACCCATGGTAGTGCCCAACTGCAATGTTACACCTCTGTAATCAGTGGTGATCTTCATACATACAATAATGACTGTAGATTTTAAACAGTAAAAAAACGTATAGTTTTGAGTTTTATCTTAATATTGGGCAGAATTATTATGAGAAATTTTTCACCAGACAGCCTAACCTTTGCTGCTTGATGTTATAATACATTCTGCAAAGTAAGATCCTCAGCAGACTTCATCAGTTTTACTTCTCAATACCTATATTTATGCTTGAATATATGGTACTTTTAAAGCCCATTCATCCCAGACTTGTCCTACATGGCTCCTGTACTGTGTTGCTCTTAATAATGTGAAAAAGTTTATCTATCATAAACAGACGCATACAGTACTTGCAATAAAAGGGCATAAAGAGAGATACACTACAACTCATTGTAGTTCATGATCAAGTGAATAGATTATTAACATAACCTTAATGTTGTGCATTCTAATGACATACAGTTAGCAAATTATTTTTATTTCAGTTTTATGTCATCACCTGAAATTTCACCTATTAATAGTAAACAAATTGCAAAATTTATTTTGCTCAATTATTTCACGTTTTTGGATACGGTGTTAAATTTACTACTGTCTGCTTGCTGTTCATTGTATTGTTCAGCATTTCTCATGACTTTGCAATAAATACCATTTAAACACTATGTTAACAGTTTAGAGCTGGCCAATTCAATTAATAACCTATGAGTAGTAATTACATTGATTAATGTTACATAAACTAAACAATTAATCAAACTAGTATTTCCAATTATTCTGTTTTAGTTTATTTTGATGTTCGATAAAATGTTTATGATTATTACTGTTTTTGGCAATTCCAACAATAGATTAATGGAAGTTAGGATTATATTGATTCTCAGGAAAATAATCAACTAATCAAAATTATGGTCAACTTGAGTGTTACAAAAATAATTAACTACTCAAAACTAGGGTTTCTTGTTATTACTGATTTGGAAGTATTGCTTTTATGTTTCTTGTCAAGTGCAGAGTTCTGTAATGGGCTAGCTGTGTTCTGCCCAATTTTAGCCTCATAAATTTTGTTTTTTACTTCAATGTTGGTTGGCTTTGGTGATTCTAGGGTTTAGGGTTTGATTCTCATTGCCACCAAACTTAGTTGCTACTGTCATTCATTCTGAACTACTGATTAGAGAGAAGGCAACTGTCTGGCAGACCTGTCATGATCTTTTTTTTGTGTGTATGCGCGTGCACTTGTACATGCCTTGGTTTAAGGAACACTGTACTAATAAACTAATTGAATGTAATTGATTACTGGGACCACTGATCAATCAGTTAGAAAATAACACTAATTGTCCAGCTCTAGTTTGGATGTAGAGAATGATAATATATTAAACAAACCAAAAACATGAAGTAAAACGTTTATGTATCATAAAGTGAACTTCAAATTCATTTGCTTGCTTGTTTTTTTAGATTAGTCAGAGTATATGTAAATGTTAAATACTGGTACTCTGTTAACTGTGAATAATAGTACAAAACATATCAATGGTATTACCAAACACCAGAATAAGGAAAAGCAGAATGTAACATTGTTGTAGTTATGTATATTTGTTTATAAAAAGAATATAATAAAATCGGATTACCATGCAAATAAAATGAACTTATGTCACGTAAAAGATATAGAATCGTAAATATAGATTACACGTCAAGTAAAAGTAATGTCTTTATAAATATTTTTGTAACAAGGGAATTTTATCTAAATTGTATTTAATAAGATTCATTGCCACAGTCTATGATGTCACAAATATTTACAGTTTGGGTACCATTACACTAAATTTCTCTTAACAAAAAAAATAAAAGCTTCAGTAGTTTTCTATTATTGATCAGGTTAAATTATTCTATTAGTGATAGTTTTCAAACACAACAGTTCTTAATGCACAGTTTATTGATAGTTTAATAGATACAACAGATTGAAACATGTAAAACACTAATACTGATGCTTACATCCCTAGAAGGAATCATCCTCTGGTGGTGCACCCATTTGTTAGCAAAATGGTAGAAGTTAAGAAACCTCTAGTTAAGTACTGATTTGTTAAGGTTAATTTGTTCATTTCATGGGAAGGTGTTACAATGTTATTAAAGGTAGAAAAGAGTAAAATATATCATAAAAGAAGAATAAAGTTATGTATTTTTTTAGATCTACAATAACTAGCCATGATAGTTAAAGACAAAGATACTTGTGTGTCAAGTTGTCTAACTTGATTACCATACAAACTG